TGGAGGTGTTGAAGGTGTTGCAGGTGTTGAAGGTGTTGGAGGTGTTGGAGGTGTTGTAGGTGTTGGAGGTGTTGGAGGTGTTGAAGGTGCTGGAGGTGTTGAAGGTGTTGTAGGTGTTGGAGGTGTTGCAGGTATTGAAGATGTTGGAGGTGTTGCAGGTGCTAGAGGTGTTGGAGGTGTTGATGGATGTGAAGATGTTGGAGGTGCTAGAGGTGTTGGAGGTGTTGATGGATGTGAAGATGTTGGAGGTGTTGGAGGTGTTGGAGGTGTTGGAGGTGTTGGAGGTCGGTATCTGTTGCATCAACGCTGTGAACTCTTGACCTCTGCTGTAAAATCAGCGCCTCCAGATGCCTCAGATGTTTTCTCTGACCTCCGTCTCCCCGGAGAGTCGCGGCGAGTCGCTCCGGCCGGACGGCTCGAGGAGTTTTATGATGTTTACGGGAGGCGAGGTGGGAACGTGGACGGCTGCTCGAGAGATGCTGAAGAATCTGGTTTTAACTGCTGGGATGATTTATCGGTGGAGTTCTTCACTCCCAGATATCCCTCCTCTGTTCCACCTCCTTTATTCACATCAGACTGCTGCTCGCCTCCTTCAGTCCTCCTGATTCAGTTCTTTTATCTCCGGATCCGATCTCTCTGATGCTCTTATATTTCTGCCCCGGCTGTAATCCTGACCAGGATTTAGCGTCTCCTCTCCGTCCTCCCTGCTGTCATCCGCCTACTTCACCTTTAAGCATCTCCTCCTGCTTCCTCACATCTTGATCCACTGCAGCTCCTCCTCTCTCGCGTGAAGCTCTTCTCTGATGATATCTGACCATCTCTATCCGTCCCTCTGCTTTGTTTAGCTTCTCAACCTGAACATTTATCTCTTCTTTATCTCCTGCTGAGGAGGACCAACTACTGGCTCCACTGAACGTTCGTCTGTTCAGCGTTTTATCAGCAAAAAGCCCTAAAAGGACCATAAATAAAGATAAACTCGTCTTCTATCATCTCACTGTGTGGATCTTAGCGTCACGTTTTTTCTGACATCAGCCACAGAAGCTCTTGTCTATTCTTTATCGATGAACTATTAAATGAATCTAGACGCTAATTCATGGAGAATTTAAATATTCATGAGCTGCAGCCGTAAATGAGCTGTTTGATGGAACTCTATTTATTGTTTATGAAGGTTTGATGGAAACATTCGGTGTCTGAAAAGTGCAGATTTTATGTTTGATTGCATTCAAAACATCCATATTTTTATGGATTTGGCTGTTTTTTGGGGGTAAAAGTGGGATTTTGTCCAAAGACTGAGACCAGTAGTGAAGCAAACGGCAGCTGTTTGACATTTAATGAATAAAATAATAAATGATTCTGGACTTGATGACGATAACGAGCTGATGATAACCGATTCATTAAAGGAGGATTTACTGGATTCTAAGCTCAACATGTTGTGTGTTTGACTGGTCGGATAAAAACGGAGCTCAGAGTTCTGAAGATAAATCAGCCGGCGAAGCAGAACCAGAACCGTCGAGGAATAAACCCAGAATAATGATCGGCTGTGTTTAGAGTCTAAACTTTATGAACAAAATGCAGAAACACAAACTTTTTTTTTTGACGTTATTTTGTTAAATCAGCTGCTGGGATCGTTTCGTGTCTCTTATTGTTCACCTTGAATCTCTCTGTGGTTGTTTTTGTTCCGTTATTGGACCTTTTGCACCGTTTTATTGCTGTTCTGTGGTTCTGTGGTCCTTCTCTGTCCTTCTGTCTCCATCATATTTATTTTATTGTTCACTCAGAGTCTGGTTCTGGTTGTTTGGTCCGGTTCAGGTGATTTCATACAGAGTTCACGGCTGTAGGAGTTCAACGTCTGGAGATATTAAACTACAGATGTTTTGTTTCAAAGGCTGAAACTAAAAAAACAATCCGATGTAATTCTCAACATCGGTACCTTACAGAACTTTGGGTCCTGAATCAGAACTCAGTGAGCTGTGACGGTGCAGCTCAGGAGCGCCGGTGATGCACAAACATGACGATAAATCATCTGGAACCGACCCGGCTCCTGTGTTTCTGCTGCTGCTCGGTTCCTCTTCAGGTCCAGACAACAGGTGACTGAAGCCCGTCCAGGTTCTGTTGTTGTGTGAGCCAGCGGAGCGCAGCGAGGTTCTGGGTTTAGCGGCTGCAGGTTCTGGGTCAGCGCAGCAGCAGATTGTGCAACTGTCAGAACACGTGTGAGCAGAACCTGAACATCTGGATCGAGTCTGCCTGTTGACACTGATTCTACGGCGTCGCTCTCAGTCTGACTTTTTAAAGCAACTCTCTGGTGTTTCCTTCATACGGACAGAAGAGGTTCTGCTGCAGAGTAAACCAGCCAAAACCTGCAGCACCAGTTGTGTTTAATCTACAACAAAACCAGACTTTAGCGTCAGTCCTGCTGCAGGTTTACTACACATCGGTTCTTCTGCATCAATGAAAACCCATCAACATGTTGAAGCTCAGTGGAAACCGTCTGAGCTGCTTCTCTCACGTCCAGGACATAAAACCTGCTTTTATTTTCCCTGAAGAATCCACAACATGTGCTGCTGCTCAGGTGGAAATAATAAGAGACAGTAAATCTCTGAGTCACACCCACAGCCTTCTTCTGCTGGTTTTTACTTCATGCGACTGTTTTGAGTTACGTTTTGGACGTTTGGAGGTGAAAACTTTCACACAGATGTGGAACAAAAAGCAGAAAGTCACGAATATTCAGAGGAACAGATGAATGAAGCCGACCTCCTGCCTCTGAGCCGGTTCACACGGAGTCCTGATCACTGGGTCGCTTTGAGAAGACGCCGACGACTCGCATCTGCAGTCAGAAGCTGTTCCTGGATGACCGCTCTGAGGGAACGCTGGAGCAACAAACCCAACATGAACCCAGCGTCTCACAGCTCCAGGAAGGAGCCAGGTGTCGAGGAAGAAGAAGAACACGTGGAACTTAAAGGACCAAACATGGATTCTGTTTGCTATAAGTTAAAACTCAGCCGGACTCTTAGATGAGCTTCAATCTGATTTCTGCTCATTATGATGGAGAAACAGCATCAGGAGGTCAGAAAAGGTTCAGATTCGTCTCCAGACTTTGAAAATCTAGTCGTGCAAAAAAATGCAAAGCAGCAGTTTAACATGAGCTGGTTCTGATTAATTAATATAATTGGCCAAACATGTGTTTAAAAGTCCATCTATTGTTATTTAGGAGCATCTATAAGGTCATGGTTTTGTTTTTTAACTCACTTCTGCAGACCCAACCGAACACAGAACTACACGTACAGAGTATAAAACGCATCAGAACCAGGACTGCTCACAGACGTGTGCATGAAGCTGCAGATGATTTAAACTGGAGGAGCTGAGGAGGCCTCCAGGCTGCTGCAGAGCCAGAAGCAGGAGGACCAGAGACGAGAACCACCAGCCGGAGTAAACAAACTGCAGCACGGCGTCGGTACCAGCGAGTGCCGCTCCGCCGGCAGAACCGTAAACACGGACCGGAGCGCTTCAGGAGGAAGCTCTCGCAGCAGCATTCTGATCCAGAGCCAAAGCCATGAAATGGATGGAATTCAGACAAACATCCAGGAGACGTTAAACATTTAGGATTCATCACCTCCTCTCAGCTCCACGCTGTTCATCTCCTGTGTTCATCTGGAGCAGAGTCAGAAACTCCCTTTGCTTTGACTTTATCTGAACCCTCGACTGCTTCTGGAAACTCTCCTGTTCTGTGTCCCTGAAGCTCGGCTCAGCTCACAGGTTCCGCCTCAGACGTCAGCATGAAAGCATCCCAACAAACCAACACCTGCTGCTTCTGTTTTCTGCACCTGGAAGCTGCTCGACGTTCTCCAGAACCTGCTCGACGTTCTCCAGAACCTGCTCGACGTTCTCCAGAACCTGCTCCTCCTGTGTGTTTATGATCACACTTCTGTCGTCTGCCGGGTTTAATCTGCTCAGAGTTCAGCGATCTGTAACCAGCTCAAAGTCCAGAACAGGATGGAAAGAAAGACTCAGTTCTGCCACTAAAAATCCATCAGTTCCTCCATCAGAACCTCCTCAGAACATCTGGTTCTGTATCTGCAGCACCTTTATCTACTGACCAGAGTTCTACCTTCAGACTGTGAATGTTCCAGAGCTCCAGGTCCTTCAAGTCCACAGAGGAGGGTCCAGATTGATCACTTTAATGGACTTTTTCCATCATTTCTGAGCCTCAGAACTTCATCAGTACAGCAGATAGACACATGACATTTAGGAGGAAGAACATATCTGGGTTCTGGTAGAACCTGACACCAGATCAGTTCTACATCCATCCAGGTGTCTGAACACTGGACCTGGTTCTGTTCATGGTGGTGGGTCAGAACAAGTTCTATAAGTTTACAAAAGTTAATCTCATAGACACGAGGACAGAAAGCCTCCTGCTGCTTGTGTTCTTCTGTACGTTCTGTTTCTAATTCTGGATATGTTCCGTCATGCTTTCCGCCCTCATACCAGCCTCTCCCTCCATACGTTTGTCTCCGACTGTATTTCATTCCAGCGGCTGAGTGGGAGTCGGCGGACCAGACGTTGACCCACATGTGGTATCAGGACCTCGCCTCGCAGCCCGCCGAGCTCAGCCACGCTTCACTGAATCACACATCGAAGCTTCCAGACGAAATCCGGGACGAGCGTAGATCAAGACAAACAGCAGCGACGTGGGAACCGAGCGGCAGGTTCTGGGAAGAGGAAGCTATCTCTTTAAAGCGTCTATCAGCGCGAGGCCTCGAGGAAACGCCGGGCCTCTCCGGAGGGTTCTGGGAAGAGGAAGAGCGCTGATGTCATCCACTTCCAGATGGCAGCGCGAGGGCAGCGAGCGAATCGGAAACCGGCCTCCGGGTTCTTACACAACCCTCACAGCCTTCAGAGAAACTTCTACAGACACACCTGCAGCCGGTTACTCATCATCCAGCCCGACTCGGCGCTTCAGGAACTTCAGCGTGTCGGTTGTGTTTCTAGACGCTGAAGGAATCCAACATGCAGAGGTCACAGAGTTCAGTCAGGACGTCCAGCTGGTCCTTCAACGAGCACCAGATAAGAGCCGACGTCTGGAGACTAACGAGATTAACCATCGTGTACAACAGAGTTTCATCATGAAAAAGATCTGCTGCACATTCAGTTTTAATGTCTTTCAGAGAACAGCAAAGCTCCTTGACAAATAAACTAAAAAATAAACAGAAACTTCTTTACATAAACTGCTTTAAAGCTAATAAATTGGGCTGCATGGTGTCGTCAGAAGGTGGCGCTGAAGGCTACATTAGCTATGATAAATGA